CGACACCATCACCCCCGAGATCCGCGCCCTCTACAACGTGCTGGCCAAGGTGAAGCGCGAGCGGGACGAGTACAAGCGGAGGTAGGGATGGGGACCGGCCGGCGGGGGCTGGCAGGTGGGGACTGGCATAGGGTCCTGCCACACTCAGCCAGGGCGAGGTGCGGGGAGGAGGGCAGCTGGGGCCCCAGAACCAGGGAGGACTAACACCAGAGTAAGTTGCTGCTGTGTAAGGAGGAGCTCGGGAGTGGCTGGGTGGCATTGGCTCCCGGAAGACGATCCACAAGAATGCAGAAGTCAGACCCGTGACAAGGAGGAGCCCGGGGAGCGGGATACTGAGGGGAGTTCATCGGTTTCTGCTGACTTGTCTGTCTGCCTGTCTCCTCTAGGCTGCAGTGTTTGGAGGAGGGTGTACCTGGGGTTTCCTGATGTGTGAAAGGGACAGGGGTCTGCGAAGGCACATCTGGGGTACTGCTTATCCCCATCAGTCTCAGTCCTCGGGTGGCTTTGTGATATAAGCTCCACATATTGATTGAAAGAAGAGGCAGCAGCTTCAGTTTGGAAGTCTAATGTGAAATTAGAAGGGAGTGGCCAGGGAGGGCTGCCCGGTGCGGTGGCTGATCCTGCCACTGCCCAGAGCTTCCCAGGCAGTGCTGGGAATGGAGGCTGGGTCCCTGCGCCGGTTAAAGGCTCAGGGACAGCAGAGCATTGCTTGGAGGAGGTCAAAAACATTGGGCAAGCAAGAGTCATGGGAGTTCCCTAGGGAAAGGGGAGGGAGTGGTAGTGGTAGGGCTACTGGGCGATGGGGAATCTGAAAGTGCAGAGCCAGGGCGAAGGCTCGGAGAACAGTCAGCAGAGGAGCCGGGCGGAGAAAGTTGGGAACGTGGACACTCCCTGTGAGTATACGACAGCTGGGGGCAGGCTCCGTACCTTCTGAGGATGAAGATTTGGCTTTTTGCGGGGAACCTGGCAGGGTAGCACAATAGGCCAGGTGAAGGGATGCCATGCTAGAGTGCTGGCTGCGTGCCAAGTGGCTGCCTTAGAGGGTTGATAAGCAGGCTGTTGGGACAGGAGCACTAGGGCAGCCAGCCTGATGTCATGGTCAAGGAGGAAAGTGACTGACTTTGATTTGGGGGCCTTCAGGTGGAACCTCCTAATTAGCTACTCTGACCCCTAGTAGGCAGGCCCGGGAATTACCCTTGCAGCTGAGTAGCAGAGATTTGTCTGATGTGGATTGGCTGAATGTTCTGGGAAGTTACCCAGGGACGACCTTCAGGCATCTGTAATCTGCCGGAGTCTAGCCGGTCACAGATCAGCATGCTTTCTGAGGCTGAGTTTTGTCCTCATACTGGCTTCCTTAGTTGTGGGCCATGTTATGAGTGTCTTTAGGAATCCTGGTTATCCTAAAGTCATCATTCAGATGCCACCCAGACCCAGCTGCCCTTGCTGCGGCCCCAGCCAGAGTTCATTAACACAGTGAGCAGTGCACCACGGACAGTTTTGGAATCCATCTACAACCACAGGAACAACTGCTGTTCTTAGGGCCATGTTTTTTTTTTAACGGAACGAGTGTCTGTCCTTGGTCCAGCTGTCCAGGCAGCAAAGAGTTATTCCTTGGGGACTGATGAGCTCATCACTCTGCAGCAGGCTGCTGTGCAGAGGGCCCCGCAGCTAGAGCTGTTATGGTACTGACACTGGCAGTTACTCATCCTTCCCCCCAGATCCCCTGCCCTCATTCTGTTCTCTTTATAGCAACACTGTAGCTCCTGTCTGTAGCCCTCAAGGCCTGGCCAGAGCTTGAACACTGAACTGGGAGGGAGCTGGAGCCTCCTGGGTTCTGCTTTCAGTTCCCCTTCCTTGTGTGACCTTGTGAGGGGCGAGGGGGGTTCTCTTTCCTGGCCTCAGTTTTCCCCAACAGGAATGGCCCCCACTTCCTCGCTTGACTCAGGGATACCGTTTATCTGGCAGAGAGGTGGTGGGTAAACAGAATACACAGGAATTGCTCAAATCCTACATATTAAGGGAACGTCCTTAGGATAGATTTGAACGGAGGTCAAAATGAACCTATTTGTGGAAAAGTCTGACTGGAGTGTAAATAGAATTCTAGTGAGCTTCCATGGTTTCTTTTTTTCTTTTTTTCACCCTGTACGATTTTATTAACCGTAATCCTTACATAACTTCCTTACTTAAGTTTCTACCTGAATTTGTTGAATTCGCTATCAAACCATGCTTCCCCCCCTTCCTGATGCATGGTGTCCAGGGTTAATGTCCCTTTGCCAGTCTCGCCTTCTTCCTCCAGGGACTCATGGACTCCAGGGGCCCGAGGGTACCACCTCCCAAGCCTTTATGTTATAGATGAAGAAAACAAGGCCAGGAAAGATAAGGATCTTGTAGAAGACAATATATAAGGGGAAGGACCGGGCAGCAGGGAACCAGAAAGGCTGTGCTCTGTCTGGGCTGCACGCTGAGCCAGCAGGGTGGTGGCTGGCGGGTTGGTAGCTGGCAGGGTGGCGGCCGGGCTGGCTGCCTTCTCCCTGCCCAGCTGGGAGGGGCAGCCTTGGTGATGTAGAAGTTATTCTTAGGAATACTGCAGTGCGGATGTGAGTGCGGAACATGAGAGCCAGGCGCGACTGGAGGGGAAGCCAGGGAACAGTGTGAGGGCGAGATGGGAAAAAGGTGGAGGGAGGGGAAGGAAGGATTGGATCCCATAGCTACAGAATACGTTCTCTCGGGTTTTCATTTTCTTACTGTCCCCTTTGCTACTCCCGAACCACCTTTCTTATACTGAAGTTTCTCTCGGTGCAGTTCCCCTCCTTTCTCAGACTGGAAGAAGTCTTCCCAGAATGTGGCAAGGCCCTAGCCGGTTTGGCTCAGTGGACAGAGTATCAGCCTGAGGACTGAAGGGTCCTGGGTTCGATTCCAGTCAAGGGCACATGCGGGATTGCGGGCTCAGTCCCTGGTGGGGGGGCGTGCAGGAGGCAGCCAATCAATGATTCCCTCTCATCATTGATGTTTCTATCTCTCTCTCCCTCTTCCTTCCTCTTTGAAATCAATAAAAATATATCAAAGAACGCGGCAAGAAGCGATAGGCTATGTGAGTGGGGTCCGAGAAGCCCCGCTATTCCAGCCAGCCTCGTAGGGCGCGGTGTTGCCCGCACGGCAGCCTTCCATCTCAGTGATGTAGCGCACCAGGCGCTGGCTTCCCGGGGACCACCCTGTGTGAGATGCCTGGTCCTGGACAGAGACCCTGCCTGTGGCGAGAGTGTTTGTCGCCTCTGGTGGGCTTAGTCTCCGAATCCTGCCCCCCAGGTGCTGCCACCTGTGGTTCTCACCCACTAACTCACGAGACACTTTTTCGTATTCCGGGTTCCCTTCCCTCTGGGTCTGGGTGCTTAGTAGCCCCAGTCTCCTGCTTTCCACTGTCACCTCCCTCCAGCTCACTTAGCGGGGACTGGGTGGGCAGTTTGTCGGGCGTGCGGGGATGGACTGAGTGTCTCCTCTGTTGACGCGGTGTGTGTCCTGCAGCTGCTTTTACAGGGTTAAATGGTCCCGTGCGAGGCAGGGCAGCAGGCTAGAGGAGCTCTGTTCTGGTGCAGGCAGGAGGCGGGAGACCGGATCTGTGCCGCTGAAGGTGGGAGACTGGGCCGGGTGGGCCTGTGGTCTGGTGTGGGCAGGACGTGGGGGATGAGGCCAGCGGACAGCTGGCTGGGCTGGGGCCTGAATGGGACGGGCATGTGAAGGACCAGAGCAACTGCAGTTGCTCTTAGATATAATCACTGGTGTGTGGCCTGGAGGTGCCGGGAAGGCAGCTGGTGCACTTGGCTTTGGCCAGGAAGCGTGGAGCCGCCCGACAGCTGCAGCTGG